ACCCAAAACGGCTCTCCCGAAAATAAGTGAATGAAAACAACAAGTTATGTTGACAACAATGAGAGCAACATGAGGACAATTGGCTTCTTTTCCGAAGTGGGTTAGACGCCTTTCAATTAGTATCACATGACACGATGAAAATCAAATAGCATGTCTTTTAGGAGCAACAGAAGGAGGGTAAGGATGACAACCTAATCGGGTCGACGTTGTTGCATTAAGTTGACAACCTTTCAACCCAACAATGATGTTGTCATATGACTGTTGTGATTTCATTCTTTATATAAGAGCTTATCGAATATAACCGCAAAGGAGCAAGTGCCAAAGTGATAAGGCTTGTGGCACGTAATATGAAACCCGAAATTGACCGGGCGAGGTAAAGGGGAAATCAGGATATGAATAGCATTCATGTGTACTATCTACAATACAATTGACATACAGTTTTAGAATGATAATTACTTATGTGTAAGTGATTTAATAAATGAATGTATTTGTTCCAAAAATCATGGAGTGGTAGGGGGCTGCAAATGGATCCCCACTTTTATAGTACAACGGAGAGATCATGCGGCACGTGTTCGAGAATCATAAGCGCCCATAGAAGGTCATTTGCAAGAATTAAAGTGAGAGAATTTTTGAATTTCGAAACATCTAGATCGAGTAGGGGAGCGAGGTATATTGTCGCATTGGAATTGCAATTTGTTCGCCCTCTTATGCTACGATATATAAACATAAAAATAAAATCGATAGCATAATTTTGAGTTGCAGTCTCATTTCTGCAGCCATATGTTTTACGGAAGTGTTGGCCGCACAAAAAAATACAAGTATACATGTCAATTTGTGTTAAGTCCCGTATGTGAGTGAAATACATTTAATTATATCTTTTGAAAGGTTGACAATCAATACGTGAGTAAGAGTGCATAAATCATGTCCCGCTATGGCAAGCAAGAGGAAACGAATACGTCCGCAAAACGATGAGTCGATTCTGAATGCACTGACCAATTCCAGAGAAGAAAACAGCAGCGTTGCATGCAGTATGAATGTTTGGTTTTTTTAACACAGTATAATCACAGCTGCTTACATACACACACATACAAGCATCTCTATCACTCTATGAAAGCATGCACACTATCTTATCCCCATGAGTATCTTTAAGATACTAAGAGCAACTCTAGCAGACCCCGCATCCGGCGTGAACCCGCATAATTTCGGCGATTATACGGACTCGGTCCATTATTCTGGCCAGACCAGAGCCTGCATCGGTGTTCAGCCCGTAAATATTTTTGCCGCAGCCCACAAACGCTACCCCCGAACCAGTATAACTGCGAGTTTGCGGGGCAGATGCGTGTCGAAACCCTATCCCCCCGCAGCCGCGTTTGCCCCCAATTCCCGATCGTGCCGCTCGATTTGTCGTCGCCGGTGAGCCTTCGACCGCCATGGCTGACTCGGGGGATGAGGCGGAACGCCGCCGCCGCGCCAGATCTGACGCCGCTCGCAAGCGGGGGGCGCGTCGGTGGCTCAACCGCGGTACCCTGCCTCGACTCCGACTCCGACCGATCGCCGCCGGTGGGCAGCTACCGCAGGAGCTCCGGTGAGCTCAATTTTGTTGTAGTAGTGCGGTAGCTTAAGCCCTGTCTAGCATCTCTAACCTTTAATGTGTATGTATGTGGAGTGTGCGAACTTATTATGAGAAGAAGAACCATCTATGCGAGCGAGCTCCGGTGAGATGCTGCTTAAATTTCTCCCGCGAAACTGTTTTTTTTTTAAATATTACGGGTTTGTTTGCGGTTTTCTGTTCTGCCGCCGCATTTTTCAGCCTGCATAAGCGCCTCCGCGCGACCTGCAAACACAGTTTACAGTTTGGCAAAATGCAGGTTCTGCTAGAGTTGCTCTAAGCCGACATAACATCTAAAATTGACAAACTCATAACAGGCGCCGCGTTTTTTTTTCCAGAGGAACAGGCGCCGCGTTGTCGGTGTCCTCTCTAACTGAAGGAATATCACTGAAAAACCTGAAATAAATTCAAGAAATTGCGAGCACCAGTTCCAAGTTAAGCATTTGAATCCTGGTAGGTTTGTTCCACCGCACACCACATGAAACCTAACCAGCCGAGCTACGCGTAGTTCCCTTTGAAGCGTCTGCTCTTCGATCGGCGCCTCTGCCCATAGTGTCCACCAGGCCCGAGCCCATGGGTGTGCCAGCTGTGCGCCCGCACAGGGCCTCCACTTTTCAGGGGCCCCCATTT